GAAATGACTATAACTTTTAATTTTTAAACGGCACCCTCGGTATATTTCTACTTTATTCGATAGAAAATGACACTCTGAGTAGAATGACATATCATATGTCAACTTTTGACATTTTCGCATATGATTTAATTATAATTGTAACACGCGGTTCATAACAATTTGACTCGAAATACCAAGTGTGTGGTATCAATATATTCATAATAAAATGCTTTTTCCAAATATGCTAATGAGTCACCCTTGTTCCATTTGAAAAAATTGACATACGTATGATTAAAAATACGATTTGTACATCTTGTAACCATCTTGGCCTATACAAGACACGAAACCTATTAGACGATCAAAACTATTTTTCCAAGGCTCCTTGATTAAAACTTAGTGTTTTTAACAACACCATGGCACCCTGGATTGAAATTTAAAATACGATTTGTTTTTAAGCGACAATGTCAAAAGTTGACATATGATATGTCATTCTATTCAGAGTGTCATTTTTTATCGAATAAAGTAGCAGCAATATACCGAGTGGTGCCTTTAAAAATCAAAAGATGTAATCATTTCGGTGAAACAGGAAGAGACCAAAAACAATTGAATACGTCAATAAATCTAATTTATGTCATATACCTACTAACATACAAATCTGTTTTTATCTGAAAAATAAAAAAAAGTTATAGGGTTGAGCCACTTTTGAGACGACCCGGTATATTAAAAAATATTGTTTCATAATGTAATATCATTTTAAAATTCTTGTATGTTATTTTAGATTCTGAAGATAATTTTAGAATAAACCGGAATATATTTTTAATAAAAACATTATTAATTATTAACAGGGTTATAATTATGATTTTGTTACAATGTAAGTAAGTAAATAATGTAATGTAAGAGAAAAAATTCAGATTTTACATTTTACTAAAATATTATCTAAATAAGCGCCTTTCTACAACAACGCCACTGACTCCCAATGGGTAAATTGAGAGTTGCCTACCGGTCAAAAGTCGTTTCAAGACTTAAATGGATTATTTAAGTCAAATTTCTTGCAAATTTGGCACTGGCGAACCATATTTTATAGTTCTTGAACAGAAAAAGTCAATAAAATAAACACTTAAGCACTACAAGCTAAGAAAATGCGTTAATACAGCCGGGGAGATAGCGGCAACAAAGCTTTACCGCACACGTGCGACACGTACTACAAGGTAATAAATGAATGAATAGGCTCCCTCGCCTCTAATCGGTGTTGTCATATTGTAAAGAACTTATCCTTTTTAAACAGTATCCGACTTATAATTTAGTAGTATAAGGACTATTTAATACATCTCTGGAATATTAAAACCTACTTTATTAAACTGTAGTATTAATATCTCAATATATGTGTATAACAAGAAAAAAAATATTGATAATATTAAAGACGTGACAACATAGGCTGGATGAGGAAGGCTCGGTCGACTGTACCCAGAAGTAAACATGTGTACAAAAAAGGTTGTTTGTCCGCGTTGAGATGTAAATAGTGTAGTCTATATTTTATTTTAAGTCTATGACTACAACAGATGCGAAAGAACACCGAATTCCGCGTTCAGGTTTCTGTGGCCTTCAGAAAGAGTTCATAGACAATCCGCATCAATGTATAGTTTGGGTTATTATTTGTTTGGGAGAAAATAATCTGCACCAATATATTATCGAGGCATATAATCTCTCAGTAATTTAATAGATTGTTCGTGATATTATATCAGTTCGTAGCAGATTAGGAAAAAAAAGATATTTATAGTATGAAAAATTAATTTATTTAACAAAATTTAATTAAAGATGTGACAAAATAGTTACTTTTCTATTGGTTCTATCGGACTTTCTTCGACTATATAAATCTTTATTTTTTGTAAACTTTAATGCATAAAATATTTTCAATCTAATAAATAATTTAATGATGTAAATAAGACGAAATTTCTCACATGGGTGGTCAAATTCTATAGTTTTCATTATATCAAACAGCCTCTGAATGTTTTCTTCAGTGCAAAACTCATCAAAATTTAATATAAATAATTTTTTCGGCCTGTAAATAAAATGAACAAACTTTTCCACTTTCATGATCAAAGGCTTTTAAATGGGTAAATAATTTCGAGTTATCCAGAGATTCGGATTCTTTTGTAAATTTTAGACAAATATCACATTGATGTATTTGAAGACCCTTTTTAATGATGTCGTCAAACATAATTAAAGGCATTTTGAGTTGAAAACATTTTTCAGAGGCTGTTTGATATAATGAAAACTATAGAATTTGACCACCCATGTGAGAAATTTCCTCTTATTTACATCATCAAATGATTTATTAGATTGAAAATATTTGATGTATTAAAGTTTAGAAATAAAGATTTATATAGTCGAAAAAAGTCCGATAGAACCAACCAAACTATTTTGTCACATTGTTAATTAAATTTTGTTAAATAAATTAATTTTTTATACTATAAATATTTTTTTTCCTTATAAATAAACACATTTGTATCCCATTTTAAATAAGATATACAAATTACCAAAACTTAGAAATAACAGTTCAAAAGTTCAACAAAAATCCTACACGCGTTTTTAAAAAGAAACATCTAACCACGCACTATGTCACTCCAGCAAGCGAATACGACACAGCATGGGTTTCCGGACTAAACGACTGGTGTGTTTACACCACTCAATAGGCGTGTCGGGTTTGCCGAACGGTTTCCGATGCAGTCGCTTTCTTTCGCATCTGTTATAGGTAATTTGTGACTAAGTACCGGATTCGATCCAGTCAGTTATTTTAGGTGGTAGTTTTCTTTTTAATCACTAATATAGGATTCGATAAAAAATAACAAAGATATGATCAATTTTAGAGAAAATGGTAATAAACATATTTTTACCCCCATAAGTACCCCCATCTAAGTACCGGATTCGATATCATTTATGGAGGTAAAAATATGTTTATTACCATTTTCTCTAAAATTGATCAAATCTTTGTTATTTTTTATCGAATACTATATTAGTGATAAAATAGAAAACTACTACCTAAAATAACTTCCTGGATAATATTAAAAGAGAGGTAAAAATAGTAGGTGTATTGTTTTATTAGGAGTAAAAATAATACGTTTTATGGCGAGAGAGTACGTTTCGGAGCGAGTCCGACATAACAGACGAGACACAAAAATACATTTTTACTCCGAATAGAACATGCTATTTTTTTTTCAAACGTCACTAATAATTTTTTAAACAATTTCACACATCTCAAATTATATAAAAATTATTAATTTGTAAGTAATTTAATATCGAGAAAATGTGGTTACAATCGTTGAATTTGACACTTAATATCTGGCTGAATATCAGTTATATATTTTGTACCTAGTTACCTAAAATGACCTTTTTATATTGCCAAATCACACAATTTTGATATCAAAAGAAAAAAAACAGTGGCGCATATGTTTTATTTTTGAAAAATATTCCTATGATAATATGCACGTCCGTGATGAATTTATGGACACTTTTTTAGAATTAAATTATGTAGCACTTATAGTAACTTTTACCCTCAAAATTTCATTCGAATCACTAAAAGTACTTGGAAGAAAAAAATCATTATATCAAAAGATTATTAAGACTTTAACACCCTATTAACACCACAACAAAAGCCGAATCAGACCCTATGTTGATATGAAAAATAAATCTTATTTTTACGTGAGGAATCTTCCCACGAGAGATGGCACATGTTTTTTCAAACACCCCGTATATGTGTGGTGTCTTGGACCACGTGATTCCAACTTTACTGAGGCTGAGTAAAACACAGTTTGAAATTTGATACTTTTATTTCAACGCTCAGAGAAAGAATGAGTTTACAATATCGTACCATCAGTACCTTATGCCTGCGCATACAACTACCGGAAACGGATGGTGTACTATATATTATTTTACATATGGTAAAGGCGGAACATTTAAATATTATTTTTATAACAATACTACAATACCCTCCTCTTAAAAAATTTTTTTTACAAAAAAAAAAATATATATCTACTCTCTTTTAATCAATTTGTATTTAAACTTAAGCAATAACTGTTTAAACTTAGTGGCGTTTGAATCAAGTATTATACAACTAACAACTTAATATCTATATAACCTAATCCAATAAACAATAATAACTCCTTTGGCATTAAAAAAATTAACTACATTTAAACCAAATTTTAACATTTCCTAAAATTACAAATGCTCTAACTATTCTGCTCAGATCCAAATCTAATAACAGGTTTTATAATCCTTCTTGGTCTTTTATTTTCGGGAAAAACAATTTCATTTTTCTTTAAATTATTACTGTCATTATTAATTGATGAACACTCTGGTTGTTCCTCACTTAACTTGTTTTCTAATTCTACCCTATTATTATTAACACCATTATCTATATTTACACTTTGTACATTAAATTTTGGACTAATTTCTAAATTAGGCTGATTGGTACAAACACTAGAATTTATGTGAGTTGGAATTTTAGATTCATTAAAATGTAGAGTATATTTTTTTAATTGATTAGTGTGCCTCTTCCAAAGTTTTTCCAATTCTGGTATTTTTACCAAATAAGTCCTAATTCCCAATTTTTTTTTGTTATAACTCCTTTAATAAAAGTTGGTTTGTCGACATATTTATAATTCTTGACTAACACAGTTTCATTTACATCAAAATTTACTTTTTATTTGGCTTACTATTTTTTATTTGATTACTTTGAGCATGTTCTACCCTTTTACTTAATACATTTCTATCTATGTCCTCTTTAAAAACCAATGTATTATCAGTGGGTAAAAGAGTAGATAGCCTCGTCCTTAAATTTCTACCTAACATTAAAGTCGCAGGACTCACCCCAGTTGTACAATGTGGAGTGACCCTATAATCTAAGAGGAACCTGCATAACACTACATTAGTATTTTCCGAGTTTGAGACTAAAGCCTTTTTAAGAGCTGACTTTACAGTTTTAACAGCATTCTCTGCTGCTCCATTAGATGCTGGGAGTAAGGGGGACTCGTTACATGTTTGATGTTATTTTTTGCCAAAAAGTTTTCGAATTCATCTGATACTAGCTGTCTGCCATTGTCTGAAACTAAAGTAATTGGCAAACCAAAAGTAGCAAAAACTCTTCTAAGAGCTTGTATAGTTAATGTAGAAGTAATACTAGACATTTCGAAAACTTCCAGCCATTTTGAATAAGCGTCAAGTATTACAAGATAATTTTTTCTTCTAAAATCAAAAAAATCTATATGAATGCGCTCCCAAGGTGCTTTTGGCCAAGGCCATGGAGATATTTGCGACTTTGGAGCATTATTTGAATGCAAAACACATGCGTCACATTTTTTTGTTAAATTTTCAATTTCAACATCTAAATTTGGAAACCAAACATACCCTCTAGCTAAACTTTTCATCTTAACAGCTCCCATATGTGATTTATGTAACTCTTGTAATACTTGCTGCCGCATAGAACTTGGAATAACAATTCTATGATTCCATATTATACAATTCTGAATTACATCAAATTCAAATCTTTTAGCAAAATATGCCTTTAACGAAATATCATTCACTTTTTTAGGCCATCCTTTTTTAATAAAATAAATGACTTTTTTAAGAATTTTGTCAGAGGCTGTTTCCTTTTGTAAAATTTCAAAATTTAAATAAAAATCTGTATTTTTTGATAAAAAATAACAGTAGTCTATATCAATATTGTCATCATTAAATAAATCACTATCTTTACTTGATGGCATACGGGATAACCAGTCTGCATTATTTTTGTTGCTTTTTACGTATGCAATTTCATAATTGTACCCTGATAATATTACTGCCCACCGCCTTAGCCTATTTGCCGTAAATTGCGGTATGCTCTTGTGCTCACCAAAAATTGTTAATAAAGGCTTGTGATCTGTTACAAGTTTAAATTTCTTCAAATATAAATACTGATTAAACTTTAAGACGCCAAAAATTATTGCTAGTCCTTCCTTTTCAATCTGTGAGTACCTTTTTTCGGTCTCCGATAACGACCTTGAAGAAAAAGCTACGGGTTTTTCGTCACCGGAAGGCAAAATATGACTTAATACAGCCCCTATGCCCACGGGTGAGGCATCAACCGATAGCCTTAGCTCCAATTCAGGATTGAAATGGACTAAAACTTCAGCAGATTTCAGAAGCTCTTTTATTTTTTTAAAAGTTTGCTCTTCTCTCAAAGACCATTCCCATTTAACATTTTGTTTGAGAAGATTGTAAAGGGGATGTAGCAATGTGGACATATTTTTTATAAATCGACCATAATAGTTTATAGTACCTAGAAACGACTGTAACTCCTTAACATTTTTTGGTGGCATAGCATTATCGATAGCTGATATTTTTTCTTTTGAAGGGTGTAAACCCTCTTCGTCTATAATAAACCCTAAATATTCAATGCCTTTTTTGAAAAAAATTACACTTTTCAAAATTAACCTGTAACCCTGCATTTTGCAAAACTTTAACAACATTTCTTAAATTTTCTAAATGACTTTTTATCAACCCCAGTGACCAAAATATCATATTGAAAAATAACCACCCCTGACAATGCACTTAATAGAGAATCTATTATTTTTTGGAATTTAGCTGATGCACATGATATGCCAAACGTTAAACGATTAAATCTAAAGAGGCCTAAATGTGTAGATATTGTTAATAACTCCTTACTCTCATCATCAATGGCTATCTGCTGAAAGGCTTGTAACAAATCAAGTTTCGAGAACTCCTTTCCTCCCTGAAGCTTGCTAAAAAGATCCTCAATTCTCGGTAGTGGGTGCTGGTCCACTTCTATTATAGGGTTCACTGTTACTTTGAAGTCTCCACATATTCTTATGTCTCCATTTTTCTTAAAAACTGGCACAATTGGGGTTGCCCATGCGCTGTACTCCACTGGAGACAATATACCTAAAAATACCAATCGTTCAATTTCTTTTTCTACTTTATTTTTAATAGCAAATGGGACTGGGCGAGCCTTTAAGAATTTTGGTTTAATTTCAGTATTTTTAAATAAATTTTCTCTTTGGCCTTGTTAAAACAGCCCAATCCAGGAGAAAAACATCAGGAAATTCATCATGCAAATGCTGAGTAGCATTATTTATGTTAAAGACATTCAAACTAAAATTGTATAAATTTAAAAAAATCACGCCCTAATATCGGAGGTCCTCCATTTTTCATAATGTAAAAAGTTAAATTTTCTTTTTTCCCTTTGTAACTTATTTCTAAATAAAGTTCACCCAATGGCTTCACTTGTTGCCCATTATAAAAAATAAATGTTTTGTTTGATCCTTGAAAAGGATAAATTTTAAAATTATTTAAATAAAATTCCTCAGAAAAACATGAAATTCCGCTACCCGTATCTATTTGACATTGAACGTTTTTATTTTCCAGTACAATATTAATTTTAAATGGTTCTGATCTAAAAATATCTTGCTGTCTCAATGTAAACAAACAAATATCATCATTGTTTTGATTATTTACCGAGGATTTTTCTTCAATAAAATTATGATACCTATTACTAAATTTTTGCCTGCATACTGCGGCTAAATGACCTTTCTTTTTACATTTGGAACAATTTAAAGATTTATAAAAACACTTATCTTTTGGTGATTGCCTTTTCCGCAGACGTCACATTTTATGGCTGTCATCATGGCTGCCTCCCTGCTGTGACTTTGACGTTTCTGTTGGTGGGGGTTCCACTGCTGTCTTGTGGTTCCAAAGTTGCCTCCTACATCCGGGTTGCGCGCGCCTCTTGCACCTGCGTCGCCTTTCTTGTTGCGTAGGAAATTCACGGGCTCCTGTTTTACCATCGATTCTTGCACCTCTCTGGCCGCCATCTTTGCTGATGCAATTTTCACTATCCCTTCAAAAGACGTAGCGATATTTTCCTCCATGAGACGGTCCAAAATTGGTCCCTTTTCGAACCCAAATATGAATCGATCTCTTAGACAAACTCCCAGCTCGGCTCCGAACTCGCATCCTACAGCCAGACTTCGCAATCTGCCTGCCCACTGAGTTGCCGTCTCTCCATATTCCTTCCTTGCTGCATAAAATTTGTATCTTAAAGCGAATGCGGACTGCTGCGGTTTAAAATATTCGTCGAACACCTTGATCAACTGGCCAAATGTCCTTTGTTCCGGTTTCTCAGGACTTACCAAATCGAATATTAATTTGTATGCCTCTTCATCACATGTATTTAATAATATCGCCTTCATTCTGTCTTCATCTTTCTCTTCTTTTATTCCGTTTGCAGCGAAATAGTTTAACAAACGGGCCTTGAAGATAGACCAGTCACTACTTATCGGTGAAAATTCCCTGAGATGCCCGATTTCCGCCATTTTACTGTTCACTTCTTAACGCGCGGATCTATATTCGTTTTCAACACAAAATAGAATAGTTTTTAATCCTCGTCGCCAATTGTGGTGTCTTGGACCACGTGATTCCAACTTTACTGAGGCTGAGTAAAACACAGTTTGAAATTTGATACTTTTATTTCAACGCTCAGAGAAAGAATGAGTTTACAATATCGTACCATCAGTACCTTATGCCTGCGCATACATCTACCGGAAACGGATGGTGTACTATATATTATTTTACATATGGTAAAGGCGGAACATTTAAATATTATTTTTATAACAATACTACAAAAACATTTAAAGAATATCGAGAAACTACGGTTTGGTTAGGCTCCTTGAATTTGACACTTTGCGTCAGTTTAAAAATATATTTTCGTACTTTTGTGCTTAGGCGTAAAAGTGCTTCACTTTTATGCCTAGAAGTTAAAATAACGTTTTTATATTGTCATTCACGTCGCAAAAATTTATACTTTTGTGACGTTTGAAAAAAATATTTTTTTTCTGATTTCCTTAAAATTTCCCATTTTGTTTTTCCCAATTGTTAGTTTGCATTGAACTTTATATTACTGAAAAAACAAAAGATTATTAAAATTACTTTTAAGAAAATCGTTACCATGCTAAATTATCAGACTATTTAACTCTAATTTGTTAATTACACCTAAATATGCATAGTTGGCCTTTACATGTACACATTTTTAAAATTGTCATCAAAAGGAAATTCTTGAAATGAAACTGTAATAGAAGGGCTATCGGAAATCGTCCTTTATTTTGATTATGAAAATGAATAATATTTTAGATAAACAATTTTAAGTTAACCCAGACTTTTCTACCGGGCCAGTAAAAAATATATTTCCGTCTAAATATCTAAGAGATAATAGTCCGTCTAAATATCTAAGAGAGTAATGCTGTATTTTGCACTTTTGGACATGGGATATATTAAAAAATGTCTATACCTATTCATCTATCCAAAAAAATCCTTATGGGTTTTTCGCCACTGCACTACAAGAAAAATCTACAAAATAAAATAGTTATTTTTTGTAAACACTTCTGGCGTTAAACCTAAACGGACGCTGCTTGTCAGAAGTTGTGTTTACAGTAATAAAAATTTGCCTAACAAAGAAAAAAATGCTTAACGTTTCGGAAAGTTTTCTTTTCCGTCGTTGGAAGCAAAAATATAAAGAATCAAGAAAAAACTATTTAAAATATTTAAATTGAACTATTCGAGAACACTTTACTTTTAAAAACAGATACGTCTACAAGAAATCGTTGACGTTCTGTTAAAATGACATTATATTAAGTTAAACTTCAAAATTAACAATTACTACCTGATAATTACTTAATAAGGTAAAACCAAAAAGCCCAAACTTTCTGTATGATTATTTTTAAATTTCACGTATGTTATGTTTATTTATGTAATGTTCTTTAAAATCAAAGGAGCGATTGCCATACATTACTAACATCTACAGATGCATGAGCAATACATTTATTTTTATTAGATTGAATTAAAAAAGCCTCTTTTATTTTTCTTTTAGAGGCTATCGCTAAAAATAAAGATCAATTTTATCACATACTAAACCAATGAATACAGAACAACAAACAAAAAATGTAATATACCAAATACCCTGTGAATGCCATAAATTTTACATTGGTGAAACATCTAGACCCTTAAATGTTAGAATTAAAGAGCATAAAGATTATTTAAGAAAGGGAGATTTTCACAAATCTAAGTTTTGTCAACATTCATGGGACACAGGGCACAGAATAAATTTTAATAACGCCAAAATTATAACGAAAGAAGCGATAGCCTCTAAAAGAAAAATAAAAGAGCCTTTTTTAATTCAATCTAATAAAAATAAATTTATTGCTCATGCATCTGTAGATGTTAGTAATGTATGGCAATCGCTTCTTTGATTTTAAAGAACATTACATAAGTAATTATCAGGTAGTAATTGTTAATTTTGAAGTTTAACTTAATATAATGTCATTTTAACAGAACGTCAACGATTTCTTGTAGACGTATCTGTTTTAAAAAGTAAAGTGTTCTCGAATAGTTCAATTTAAATATTTTAAATAGTTTTTTTCTTGATTATTTATATTTTTTGCTACCGACAACGGAAAGAGAAAACTTTCCGAAACGTTAAGCATTTTTTTCTTTGTTAGGCAAATTTTTATTACTGTAAACACAACTTCTGACAAGCAGCGTCCGTTTAGGTTTAACGCCAGAAGTGTTTACAAAAAATAACTATTTTATTTTGTAGATTTTTCTTGCAGCGCAGTGGCGAAAAACCCATAAGAATTTTTTTGAATAGATGGGATATATTGATGATCGTGAATTTAAAAATGTCTGCAGTGATGTCAATAAATTTACTATGTTGTACAAAAATTAGCTTCATTCAAATTATTCTCAAGATATGGTTTTAGGATCTCTTCTATTGCACAAATCTTATGATTTTTAAATGATGCAATTTAAATGATATGTTTTTTTTTCGTTGTAGATAATCAACTTCAAGCGACCACACAACTAAAAATCAAGATGCGGCAATCAACACAAGAGCCAGTCCCATTCCATTGTATAATATTTCCGAAGTCAATTGGAAGTACTTTGCCCGGATGATGCTGACAAAGACGCCTTCAAAATAAGTGCCGAATAACTGATTTCAGAAAAAATATACCTCCTCTTCCTATCTACCTGTTTTCACACTTGTTCAACACATGATTCAAAAAATTTCAAAGGTTTAAAGTGAAATAAGAAGGGGTTACATCTTGTTGGAACCAAACATACCAATTAACAGCTCCAGTCTCATAACCGTGTATAAATTTGCTGAAAGAAAATATTTCTGCCTAAAATAAATTCTAACTCTGGCAACACCGGAGACATGATTTTTGAATACGCGATTATCAATAATGGGGTATATTCCCATGTGGTCCAAAATTTCAAAAACATCGCATTACCGGTTTCTGAGAGCCGGGTATATACTTTTGACTAACCTGGTATAATTAGTCTTTTTATATGTAACTAAATACTAAAAACAAAATTAAACATTTTGTTTCATATTTAGCTTGTTATAGTATAATTCTTCTGCAAAATCGTAACACCTGCAAATACATTATGCCAATTTTCTCAAGAAATAGAGAAAACGTTAGTTGACATGTTTTATTTCATGTAGGTACCGCACTAATGCGAAGGAGGTATACATTGGCCATTACTGGAAAATCAATAGCTTGTATAAGTACAACTGTACAGAAGGTGTTTTAAATGCCTTTGATGTAAATAGATATGTCTATATATGGTACAAATTAATTTGAACAGGATATCGCGCATCAATCTAAAAAAGATAACTAATAAAATTTCAAACATATATTTTCCGAATTTATATCCTATATCTATAAATATTAACCTAACATAACAAATGGATAATATGCCCGACAGTATTAAGTATCATAATAAATTCTCCTATAATTACTATTGTTTTTGTACTCTTTTAATGCGTATCTAGAAAATATGAAATTTTCCTCTGAATGTAAAGTTGTCTTTTATATTAACATTGCGTATATTTATATCATGTAAATTATTGCATGTCCAATAAAAACACAAAGAAAATGTTGATTTACATATGCACTTTATACCTAGTCAGGAGATTTATGTTAATATTTAATAAACAAACCTAACACGGCATATAAACAAAATCTGAAATGATATACATGAACAATATAAATACGATGTTTTCAAATAGCATACAATTTTAACAAAAATTATGAATATTAAATTATCGTTTGTGAATGTATGTGTTTTGATTTTGACATTTAAGAAAGCCTAATGTAATTTCTCACAACACTTGCTTTTCTGTTCGTATAAAGCACGCTAGATTTAAAAAAAAAATGATCATATTTTATGGAAAATTAACACTAATATATACAGGCTTAACCTTTAATAAGTGCAAATAATAATTTTAGGAGGCGTATATTTTGACCCCAGAAATTCGTCTATGAGGATTTTTTCGTGAAATGTTTTATTTCAAAATTTGGATTTTTTTAATTTTTAGTTGAAAACATAACAAATAAACAACGTTTCTTGATAATATGACAATAAAGGTGATGGATTAAATTTACAAGAAACTCCAGAAAAAATCCAGTTAAATAAAACATTTAAACAAAAGTCATTTATTTAATTTTTAAAGTAAAATAACTCGGTTGTTTTAGATTAATTTGAAAAACGGTAAAGAGGAATATACAGGGTCGCTGATATGTATGGGAACGGTCGATTATTAACTAAAATATAAGAGGTACCGTAAAAAGTTAATTACAAAAGTTATACGGTTTTCAAATATTTATTAGCGGGTTATAAATTTAAGTATATAGGGTCGGTAATAAAGTCGTGGCACATCAAAGTTTAATTTTTAAATGGAACTGTACATTATTGCATATTTCGGTCCTTCCTTCAATTGTAACCAAAAAAAAGATACACACAATGTACCTCAAACCAACCGTTTCCGAGATATTGACTTTTGAAAATATCACTTAAACAATTCGATTTAATTAATATCGATGTGTTTGGTTTCATTTAACAATGCCATTCTGCGGAACCTGTGAAACTTAACAATATTTGACATTAGTTTTCAAGTTAGCATTTATAGATGTATAAAATGAGATTATATCAAATCTAGAAATTACAAAATTTTCGTTTAACATTTCAAAATCAAAAATTCATAACTCGGAAATTGTTGAATTTAGGTACATTATGTGTATTATGATTAAGTAGTTCTTTCGGAACCAAAACGATTATAAATTTACAGTAGTGATTGGGATATTTATAAATAAAATACTAAAACATAATTTATCCAGACACTTATTATTTTATCAACATATTTTTTTTAACATCAAAGATATATCACGCCCTTCAACTTAATAATTTTGAATAGCAGACGACTAAACTAGTTTTCATCATCTGCTGATTCGCTAACATAGTTAAGTTTTAACATAGTTAGCGAATCGTGGTGAATTAATGTTTTATTTAACACCAAATGTTCAAACACCCAACTGTAATCT